GGATACTCACCCATCATCTGCTTTGAGTCTTCATGCTCGCTCTGCTAGCTCTGACTTCTTCACATCTCATTAGGCTCAAGAGGGGGTTCAAATGCCATGAAAATGATCTATTTTTGAGCATTATCAGATCAGGTTAGAAACATTGGTTCTCCCAAAAGAAGACACGTGCTCATGGGATTTCCCTGGCAAACCCATGAGAGCCTGAAGGTCTATTGTCGGTAGCTGGATCAGGGTGGAGAAAGGAGCCATTTTCAAATTGTTAAGCTTTTCAAAAATTGCATATTACGTATTTCCAGCCAGCAAAGCACGCTGGGCCCTCTGCAGGGGCTGCCTCCATGTCACAACCCCAAGGATGAAGTGACTGGCCAGCGCTTGCAGCTGGAGTCCCCAGGGCAGCCCAGGGAATGAGGAATAGCTGCGCAAAGCTCAAGAAATAGGAAACTATTCACCCAAGATGAGTAAGCAGCGGGCTTCTAGGAGGAAAGAAACAGTTAATCAAAACATATCCTGCTCATTCCTGCCACTGCAAAACCAAAGCTGAGTGTGTGCCCGAGATTGTGCTTTCTGAAGGGCTCACTGCTGAGAAGGGCAAAATGAGGTTGTTTACATCTGTTATGCAGAGGGAGGAGGAGGCTGATGTGGGGGATGGAAGAACCAAATCAAAACCAGAAGGAAAAACTGCCACAACATTTTTAAATGATCACGTATGAGGTGATTATGTTTATGCATTTATGTAAAATCATGTGTGTGTATCTATAAAGAAATTTGAAAAGAAGTTTTAAACGGTGATATGGTCTCAGCACTTTGGGAAGCCGAGGTGGGTGGATCACCTGAGATCAGGAATTTGAGATCAGCCTTGCCAATATGGTGAAACACCGTTTCTATTGAAAAAAAAAAATTAGCCAGGTATGGTGGCATGCAACTATAATACCAAGTACTTGGGAGACTCAGGCAGGAGAAATGTTGGAACCCAGGAGGCAGAGGCTGCCGTGAGCCAAGATCACACCACTGCACTCCAACCTGGGCGACTCCATCTCAAAAAAAAAAAAGGCATCTGGGCTGTAGAAGCAGACAGACCTATGTTTGAACTTTAGGCTCATCACCTCCTAGCTTGTGTGACCTCCCTGATCCTCAGTTTTCTCATCTATAATTATAGAGGATTATAGAAATTTATTCATATGTCTTGGGGATTCAGTGATTAACGTACTACAGTGTTAGATGCCTAGTTAGAAAGTAATACATGTTAGCTAATATTGTCAGTCATTGAGAGAAAACAGAGCCTAAAGGTTAAGATGTGGGGTGGGTGAGGGTAACTAGAGTTTTCAATTCTCCAGAAAGCCCAGTTTCCTCATGTTTCAGTCGTATTGAAATAATACCTAGCCAACCCTCTCTCTCTGCTCTTTCTCCCCCCTTCACCCCTCCCTGTTTCTCTTTCCCCTTCATTCTTGATCTGTGCTGTCCTTTTGCTTGGGATATTTCTCCATCTGCCTAAATGGGAAACTCTTCTCTATCTTTCAAGGTCCATCTTGAATGTCACCTCTTCTGTGAAACTTTCTATTCCTTTTTTAGGTTCCTATTTCCCAGTAGGAAGGATCTCTCTTCCTCATCACAATGCACTACCTGCCACACACTGCTAGTGTGGTCATACCATATGGCAAATGCTGTTTCTTGTGTATTTCCCTTTGGCAGAAGCCAATGTTGAGTTCCCTGAGGACAGAGATCATGTCGTATACTTCCTGGTTGTAGCAGCTCCGGCATGCAAGAGGTGGTCAAGAAGCAATTGCTGAATGGAAGCATAAAAAATCGAGGGTGGGCTGTGTGCGGTGGCTCACACCTGTAATCCCAGCACTTTGGGAGGCCTAGGCTGGTGGATCACTTGAGGTCAGGACTTCAAGACCAGCCTGGCCAACATGGCGAAACCCCATCTCTACTAAAAATACAAAAATTAGCTGGGCGTGTGGTGTACGACTATAAACTCAGCTACCCAGGAGGTTGAGGCAGGAGAATCACTGGAACCCAGGGGCCAGAAGCTGCAGTGAGCTGAGATCGCCCCACTGCACTGCAGCCTAGGCAACAAAGACTCCATCTCAAAAAAAATTAAAATAAAAAATAAAATAAAATTGAGGGTCCTTGTTCTAAATGGGCCATGGCCAGTTGCTCCCCACTGTAAGGAAAACCAGAATGCAAATGGACTTAAGCTACCGCATGGGAAACTTCAGTCAGACTCAAAGAATTTCCTCAATGAGAGTGTTAGATACCAGACCAAACTCCTGTGGGACAGTGTGGAATTTCCATGAAGGGACTTTACAAAGGAATACTTTTTTATGTTTGGGGGTGATTCTGATGTGGTTTTGCTTGAAGGCAGGCCTTCACGTGAGGTTCATGAAACATCCCGTAAGCAACCCAGATGACAGCACAGGGTCTCTGACTCTTGGTCAGCTGCTTCTCCAGATGGTTTTCTGTGCCCAGCACCAGCCAAGGAGGCTGGGAAGGAATGTGGCTGTGTGTGCCTGAGTGGAGGGTGGGAGGTCTGCCTCCCACGAGCTTGAATCTCAGTACGTGAGCAAATGGTGCATTTTGCCAAGGGTCACAAAGTTACCCTGTGTTCAAGTGCCCAAGTCTAGTAACATCCAACTTCTTTCTTCCAGCAGTAACTGTGGAGTAAAGCAGGAGGGAGGAACTGCAGTCTAGAGCAGCACTTTTCCCACCTTTCTTTTTCTGCTTGGTCAGCCCACCCAGGGGCTATGAGCACCTGCTGTGTGCCAGCCCTGGGCTGGGTACTGAGCGGAGATGAACAAGACCTGGTCTCTGTCCTAGCTCAGCTGTTTATTAAGAGCAAGACGGGCCTCAAACAATTTAGGACAAATAATGAATTAATCATAGGCAGAAAGTACATGAGAGATAAAACTGGTGTGATGATAGGGGAAAAGTGGAACAGAAAGACGGCCATCCTCTACTGCCATCATTGCAACTCGCTGATCACAGGTGAGGCAAGAAAAGGCATTGCTACTCCTTTTGTCACAAAAGTCCACAAAAGGCAGAAAAACAGTTAATCATTTAAAAAAAAATCTTTCCAATAATCTACCCCACCCCCAAATCCCAAAAGGACATCCGGCCAGTGTCAGAACAAACATTTCAAGTTTACGGCGGGCACAAGACCTGGAGGGTAAGATGTGATTTGGCACCTAAAGAAAGAACCCATGGATTCACGTCTTCACTGATTTGCTGCTTGGCCTTGGGAAGGCATCAAAGCTACCTGGGTTTCAGCTAATAGGAAGTTGCAGCAGTCTTCACGAGGCCAAAGACATGAGATGTGACAGATTTACAGGGCGACAGGAGTTGCCAGGTGCTGTGGGATACCAAGGGTCTCAGTGTTGATCATTTCAACTTAAAACCTTCTGGCTTTGGTCCTCACCGTCTGATGTTGACTGGGTACTGCAGGGTGGCTTTCTGAAGGGTGTACCGGGCGTCGGCATGCCCTTCCCCTGCAGATGGTTATTCAAAACTCTCCCATGTTAGGAACCTCACCCACCCGAGCAGTTACCATGGAGGTTAGAGCCTCCCTTGGCTGCTGTGCAGGTTGCAGTCAGCCAATACTGACTAACCCCGCATAGTTAATTAGTGGCAGCTTAGCTTGGTGCTATTAAAAGCAGGGCAAGCCAATGACACTGACACATTCGGGTAGGAGAGAAGTGTGGTATCTGAGTGGAGGTTGAGAAAGGACTGAGAAAGAAAGAAATTAGAGCCCAGACTTAATTCTCATGAGCAAGCATGTTTGGGGTCTGGGAAAATCTCTCATCACACTCATTCTCTAACATTTACCTAATTTCAACTGTCAGTCAAATCCACTTCTAACCCAGGTGCTCTTAGGACTAATCATGCAGTCAGAACTGAGTGAAAAACACCGAACAAAATCACAGGACGTGACGGTTTGCGCTGTGCTCTGAGTGGCTGTTAAAAGCAAAACGAAATTAAAAGCCTTCTGCTAGGAAGGCATGAAAGTCGAAGTGACTGGGAAGTCTATTGGAAAGGCCAAGAACAAAGATAAAATACACATACACCACGTATTTCATTCTCCCCATGAAGGATCAGACATATATGTACGCCATACCCAGAAAGCCTCGCCTAGGTACAGCATGACCCACACATGTGGGAGGCTTTGGGTGCTGGGAGTTTTCCAGAGGAGGCTGTCAATTCTGTGAGGGCAGCAGCTGCTGCCAGTCTGTGCTGTTCACAGGGGTAAACCAGTGCCTTAAGTGGCAAATGAGGACAAGTAGGCAGCTCACATGTGACACACACATTTCAATAGCCCCCTTCCCCTTAGAACCAGGCACCAAGGGAGCCTCACATCTCTTCCTCCTCTCCCAGGGCATGCAGAAGCCTCACTCTCACTCCCCGGAGCCCTGGGCTCCGCCTCCCTCCTCCTCTGAGCACGTCAGAGCCCTCTGTGCTTGCAGCGGAAGCTGGGAGCTCACTGGACACCTGGGTCCCAGGATGCCTTTCAGAACATATCTGGAAGGGACATGATGAATGCGAAGACTCAGTGATCTGGGTTGGCTTGGGACAGCACACGACGATCTCTAAACAACTGATTAACAAATCAGCTGTGCGGGGGGCACTGCCTGTGTTCTGGCTCTGATGATTCCATCCTTGTGTTCATGAGGTTCCAGAAAACAGGTGATTAGAAAGTCAAATTTAGGAAGAATAAAACAATATGTATTCTAAGAGAAATACGTTAGAAATGTGAAGTGGGCTATGACTCTTCGGGCTCAGTTTAATATGCCTGATGAGCAAATTCTCAGGCTTCCGAGCATCTGACGGCTTCCTAAATGGAAAGCAAAGCTTCTCAGAGCTCACCAGAAATCAGCACTGTGGTTGTCACCAAAAACTTCAGGAGCCAAGACTTGTGACCTTTCATCATTGTCTATATATACTTATTTGAAGACACATTAAAATATGTATTGAGTCAAACTCTATCAGAAACTCAACAAAGATACCACCAAATGGAAAAGACATTTAATTCAAAAACCATACATCCACTCATTTCGTAGGGACTGTCACATACACCAACCAAATGTAAGAAAACCAAGTTTCAGAGGCCTCTGAACAGAAATGCTGTTTTCTTTATAGATATATTTTGTGACACAAAAGCACATTTTTTAAAAGCCTGAACATGGCAACAGGGCTACTAACAGGGACAAAGTTCTATTCTAGTCACAGATTACCTTCTAATTACAGCACTGGATTCTATGCACCAGTCAATGGTCAATACTGAACTTTAGAACAGTGCATTATTTGTTATTTTAAAAGACAACATTGAAGTGCCATTAATAAGTACTTTATTGATATATCACACAGCACTTTACAGTATACTCAAAGGTAGCCTAAATTATGAATTAAACATGCAAATATTTTCTTTTCTGAAATATGGATAAAATGTCTTTTAGAGTGCTTTTAAGCACTAGCCGTAGGTTCTATGCATTCACGGGTTTGATCTTTTTTGCAACATGACTTTAAATAAGTTAACAGAGAATATAGCTGTAGATAGTAACCATTTGATAAATACAAACACAGTTTTAAAATGGCACTGAATTTACATCTTTGATCATTTTAATAGGCAATCAACAGCCTGTCTTGTGTCTCTAATTCTCAACCTCCAAGTCTTAAAGGCTGTAAAGGCTCAGCAAGTACCAGCTCACGTGGGTCTCTATGAGTGTCTGTGTCTTCCTAGATGTAAATATGTGCTGTACACACACACACACACACACACACACACACACACACACACAGAGAGAGAGAGAGAGAGAGAGAGAGATACTTTAGAATCAACAGATGTACACTGTCAGATACAAGGTAGATTCTGGCATCTAGATAACCAAGAAAGCTGCTTTTAGGTGTCTGGACAGGTTTGTAGAAATGGTTGATGTAGAATAGTATAGAATGTCTTAGCCTCTCCAGGACTGCTCCAGGTAACTGACATTTCATTGATCAATACTCTGGTTCTGACTATACTAAAGCGAATTTTGAGATAATCTAACTGCTACCCATACATGAGTCCAGGACTGTGCTAAGCCTTCGCTCTCTAAACCATTCCACCTTGAGAGATGTATTCACTTTGCAATGTTGGCCATAACTTTTGTAAAAATATTAGCTGTGAAATTTTTCTGTGATCATTTTTCTCCCCAGTAAGAACAGTATTTATCCTTCTAAAAAAGTAACCAAAGCTCCTTTAGGATGGTTCACCTTTCTCTTTCTCTCTGGTCCTGGTCTGCACCCAGCATTTTTACCTCCCAAGAATACAGGTGCTTCCACTGGAAGACCACATTTCAGCAGGACTAACTCTAATGACACCTGGATTCTCTCTATGGCCTTTCCCTCCACTTGGGAAGCTCTTTAGTTAGATAGACAGGTGCTGTAGGCGGCAGGAGAAAAATGTTAATTACTTGTTGGAGTCTTGTCGCAGGCATGCTATGGGACTGTGCAAGACTCGCTGCTCCGCTGCCGTTGTCATTTTGATGCTACAATTACAGAGAAGCGGTTCAGCACCCAGCTGATTGGTGTGGCTGCCAAACACATTTGAGCAACACAAGATACATTTTTTAGACACCAGCACAGGGTGTGGGAGAGGACACCCTGCTGCCTTTATAAAGGGATATGGGGCAGGGTCATCGAGGTAAGTGATTATTGTCAAGTTTACCAGAGATGATAGATAACTCCCTTGACAGAACACCTAGGTCATTCCTTTTCAAGTCAGCTAAGAGGCCGTTGGTTTCTGCAGTGCCGGCTACCTACCTGGGAATATGATTGCTCATAAAACATTCAGTACTTGGGCAAACTCTGGGTGCCATGGTGGCCACTGCTGTCTCTGGGAGCGTCATGTTCACAAAACTCAGTCATCCAGACTTGCTTTTGGGAGCAGAAGCCAGAGGATGACAGGTGCCAACAGACCGGCAGGGATCAGGTTATTTTGGCTTCTTGTTTCTGTCTCCCTCCCCCTCAACTGTGAATGCTTTCAGAGCCTCTGTAGCCAAGACAGAGCTTTTAGTGAGACAGTAGTTGCCATTTTCAGGCGATAGAAACTCAGGGGGTAGAAGTCCTTCCCTTTGAGCTGCAGGTATGGCTCACACAACTTTGCAGCTCTGGGCAAGTGCCTTGGAATGTCCTTGTTACTAGTATGGCTCCATCCTGCTAATGCCGGTCTGTCAATACTTGATTGCTCATTCTTTCTCTTTGCCTCTCTGTCCAAAAAGCACTCGGTGAGAGGAAATGAACCAATGTTCAAAAAGACGGTTTGGTCTGACATAAGAAAAACACATATTGGCCGTAGAAATACTTAAGACATTAAGCTAAAGACTGGCTCCAATTCTAGGACACAGAGGCAGGCCACGCTGCACACGGTCCATCCCTATATATGTTTATTTTGAAAAACAGGAGAGAAGATCTTCAGTCGCGAGCAAGTCAGCGTTTTACTTGCCTGGGGGCAGGGATTTGAATCTAGCTATCTTCTCCTGGTATGGCATTCTTTAGCTATAAAATTTTGCTGGTAACCTGAAGGAAGAGAGGCTGACCTTAATACTCCTAAAAGATTCAGACTCTGGCTAAGTGATCCCTGGGCCTTACAGAGGAAATTGGAGGCTACTGGGAAAGCTCAGGGATCCTGGGCCATGGTTTTCCACTCTGATAACCAATTCATTCTCCTAATCTGCCCTAACGTTTCCTATTCACACAGAGAGTCAGAGGTAGGGGGCATGGACTGGGGAGAGAGTAAAATCTTTTTGTCTTTGAGTTCCTTCCTACTCTTTGGCTCATATTCTGAAGATTATCCAGTTTTGTAGCTAATAGGAAGGAGGGGAGCCTGGCTGGGCAAAGGGAAACAGAGCAGCCATCTGTCATGGGCACCGTTATAGCCACAGGGAAGCTGGGGAGGGAGTTACCTAAAAGATCCCATTGGCAGCAGCTCATGGGCACTGCACAGCCACGGGGAAGCTGGGGAGGAGGTTACCTAAAAGATCCCATTGGCAGCAGCTCTGTTTCCCCCGGTTTCAAATCAGAGCCAACTCAGGAGGGAGAGTCATGCTTTCAAGCAGTGAAGCTGGGGCCAAGTGTCTACAGGAATGCTTCGTGAGGCACTCCCAAAGCAAGGATCTTGGCCTCCTGTTCCTCCACATGAGCTCCAGGTACGTTTATTATGGGGCAGATGACAACTTCAAACATCAAATATGGTCGGCCGTGGTGGCTCACGCCTGGAATCCCAGCACTTTGGGAGGATGAGGCAGGCAGATCACTTGAGGTCAGGAGTTCGAGATCAGCCTGGCCAATGTGGCAAAACCCCGTCTCCACTAAAAATACAAAAAACGATCTGGGCATGATGGCTCATGCCCATAGTCCCAGCTACTCGGGAGGCTGAGGCAGGACAATCAGTTGAACCTGGGAGGTAGGGGTTGCAGTGAGCTGAGGTTGCACCACTGCAACCCAGCCTGGGCCACAGAGTAAGACTCCATCTCAAAAAACAAACAAAAACAAAAAACCCCATCAAATGTGTTAAAAGCATTATGCTGGTCTCTCCTTGGATGCACATTCCCTGAGGGCCCCATTTCCCAATGTCTTCTTGTCCTCAAGTCCACAGAACTAACCATTAGTATATTCCCTGTCTTCTCGAGTTTTCCCCGATGGCTTTCTTGAGTTCTATCTTGGTCCTGTCCATTCTTAATTCTTATTCCCTGAATCAATGGTAGTGCCTCGCTCCTTGGTGAATTCCTGGAAAAGAGCCATATAATCCTTGAGCTGATAAACTGAGTCGTGAATCACAATGACAAACCCCTGTTAACTTTAAAGCCACCTGTAAAGCTCTAATGGCACAATCTACATCCCTTCTGGAGTCGTCTTCTTCTTTTGGGATCATAGGGAATTGGAGCTGAGAGGGAAGAGTTTAAAAATGTTTAGGAAAAGGGAAAGCAGCAGCACATTGAGAACTAAAGATTCTAAGAAGTTGGTTTTTTAAGAACCTACAGATGCACATGAAATCTGAAAACAAGCTAGCTCATCTACATTTCTAAAGCCTCAGAAGATGTGCAGTAAAGAAAGAAGTAAGGAGCCCAGCAATTGACTCATCTCTTTCTGTCCTGATATCTAGGGGGTACCAAGAAATACACCTGAGAAGAGAAACGAAAAATCATATGCCTGGACCCACCTATTTAAGTCCTGAGCTTCATCTTACTACTAAGTAGGCACTCTTCAAAAAACTCATTGCCTGGAGATGCTCTTCCCATCTCCAAATCCAAAGCCCAAGGAATGCTCAGAAACACATAAAGAAGACTGAACACCACTGATGAGTCATGCCCACCAACAGGGCAGCAGAGAGCAAGGGCATGTGCTCTCCTTCCTTCAGGCTGAAGGGGGGACAGCAACCTTGACTCTCTCCAGGCTTGCCTCCTCTCTCTCCCTCTTAAACATACCTGTTCAGCAATCCAAGCCTAAGTGTATGAGCAACTAGCTTAAAGAATATCAAATATAAAACTTTGCCATATAGTATTTCAAATCACTCTATTTACAAGTTTATCTTTTCAAAAAAAAAAAAAAAAAACGTAAAAGATACAGTAATTCAACACAATTCAAGTTTTTCTTTTCTTCTTTAAAGTTCCCTAACAAGGAATTCCAGAAACAGGAAACACTCTGAAGCAATGCTGCCATCCAAGGGGCTCCTGGGGAGCCTGATGGTCCATCGGTTTGTAGTTTGTCTAGCGTCACCCTTGCAAAGACATTCACATATGGGAGATATGGATGACTCTGCTGTTTGAAGGCCAAGTGAATTTGAAATGTCCAGGCAGAACTTCCCCACTCAAGGTAGTCTTCATAAGACCCAGCCTCTTTTCACCAGCAAATTCCCTTATTCAAAGGGTACCCATCCCACCCCCCAACCTTTGGTTTCTTCCTGAATCACAATAAACTACATTAGTCTCATGCCTTGAAAGACTGAGAAACAATTCCCTTTTTCTGAATGGCAGTCAACATAGACATCATTTTAAGCTACAGGCCGTAAGGTTAGCCTAGGAATTATCCTTGAAAACCACCACAGCACCAGTGTTCAGCAGCCCATAGCAGGGCAAGGGGGCGGGCCAGTGGTGGGTTAGAGGCAGGCAAGGGTGAGAGCGGGGATGGGTGAATGGGAGGACATGGGGGAACCAGTCAGATGACATCATCCATGGGGAGGCAGCATCAAGACTATGTAATTCAATCTTAAGAGGTTACTAGAGTGTGCTCCAAATATATCCTGATGCTGCTGAAATTCATCAGAAAGGGAAGAGTCCCAGCTACTATCCCATCTGCCTCAAGCAGACCACCCTAATTCCTTGATTCTTTGCTTCAAGTTGTTAGAAAACCAGTCAAAAAAGTATACCAAAAAGGTGAGAGAAAAAAAAAAAAAAAACATGTCATGCAAAGAGGATTTTTTTTTGGTTTGGTTTTAGAGTAGGTTGGGTTGCTGTGGTTACTAGGCGATGGATAGCAGCCTTGGTGGCAGAGAGGTTCCTAGCCTGGGAGGGAGAAACACAGGGTGTGTGTATTCCTGTGCATGAGAACACTGGACTGAATCTTGCTGATGACGGCCAACGGCTGCTTTAGAGATGGTGAGAGATCGGAGCTTACATAAACAGTGCTTTAACCCTCTTCATCCTGCATGCGAACAGACCTAGCTGCCTGTAGCAATGTAGGTCTCAAGTACTGAGAGGTGGAGTGGAGAGCATGCCTACTGTAAACAAAAGCAATGATCCAGCCTGGATCTCAGCGCCAATTTCTTCACCCAGCCCCATCAGACTTAACTATGCGGTGTGTTCTGGGGTACTGCTATCTGACTTCCTCTTTCTGAAGGCTGGGCGTTTGGACCGCTGAAACAAAATGAGTGCCCCCTATTTAGGATACTCATGAGAAAACGGCTTTGCAAGTCTTTCAGTTATCAAAATCAGATGGCCTCCTCTGCTGATTGACTTCTGTTTCTTGCAGTATTGATCAGTATTGGCTGAGATGATCATGGAGATGAGTGACACCAGAGCTCACAGAAACATTCATGTTGACAGGTAGCAACAGAGTCAGTCACGCTGCATTTCTCGGTGGCAAAGAGAAATGGCCTATGACACTGGAATCAGCAGTTGTCATGGATACCATGTAAAGCTCAGCAGTTCTGCTGGGGCCCACGGTTAGAGGAACTCCACGTAGTTCTCAGGGATGAGGCCAGTCTTTCCGTTCAGAGTCCCCTCCAACCAGCCAGGCTCCTGAGACGGGTGAACTGTACAGGAAGGGGAGAGAAAGCGAGAAGAGATGACGTTATAGATAGAGCAGGCGGCAGATGTGTGTGGGGTGTGTGTGTGTGCAGGGGTGGTGGCGGTGGTGGGGTGTGTGTGTGTGTGTGTGTGTGTGTGTGTGTGAAGGAAGCTTGGACAATGATTACAATCACTTGTTAAATTACATCATTCTAGAAGTTTAAACCAGAAGTTCTGAACTTTTTGTGGAATATAAGCCTTCTGATGAAAGCTGTTCTGAACTTTCTTCGCAACAGAAAAGGAACAGACACAGACATTCAAAATTTTACAATTTTAGGGGTTTCATGAACTTTCTGAAGTTCCTTGTTTAAACTATAAAGAAGTGACAGATTCCTACTTTGTAGGTTAGAGGGCAACCGTTGTCCTGGTCCATCCATATATGTATCCATCCATCCACCCACCCACCCACCTGCCCAGTATCAACTATATACTGAGTGCAGTGTCCATGGAAGACTGCTAAGAACTAGTCTTTAAAGATATCCAGCTTCGAGGCTAGGCCTGGTGGTTCATGCTCGTAATCCCAGTACTTTGGGAGGCTGAGGCAGGTGGACTGCTTTAGCCCAGGGGTTTGAGAACAGCCTGGGCAACATGGCAAAACCCCGTCTCTACAAAGTATACAAAAACTAGCCAGGTTTGATGGCACGTGTCTGTAGTCCTACTTACTTAGAGGAGGGGGAGTGCTGAAGGGGAGGATCACTTGAGCTCAGTGATTGCACCACTGCACTCCAGCCTGGGCAACAGAGCAAGACTGTGTCTCAATCAATCAATCCTGCTGCTAATCATCATCTTACTTTCCTTCAAATCCTTACCCCTGCTTCTAATTTCCTTGCACATTTTTTTTTGTGTGTGTGTGTGTGTGTGATGGTCATTTTGGACAGCCTTTGAATAGCCATTTCTCTGTTTTGCTCACACCCTTTCTTAGTTTTCTTTCCTGTTCTCTACATTTTCCCCTCTTCTAAATACCAGTTGGAAAATTGTTTTCTTCCTCCTTCTATTGCCCTTTGATTTTTCAGTATCCAAAGAATATATATACACTTTTGTGACATCATGATCCCTCTCCATGGAAACCATTGTGATATTACAAAGATTACATAAAATCCAGCTGAGTCTGCAAAGTAGCCAATAGCAGGAAGGAAGAGAGAAGGAATCATGGGACTAAGAGGTGGGGGATGTTCACACTTGTCAACTGAAGATATACAGATCACTCTGGGGCGAGGCAAGGCATTTACTCTTAATGTGTTAGGAAAACTCCAATTTTCCAAGATTATTTGGAGAGAATAGATTTTCCCCTATTCCCTTCCTGGGCTAATTAAATGACTTCCTGAGCTTGTTTTAGAAAAGCATTTCCGCCCTGACACTGCTATTGAATTCTAGTTTCAGTTTGTAGGGAAAGAAGCAAGAACAGAAACCAAAGGAGGCAAATGGGAGGCAGCAAAAGAACCGGCATTGAGGCTTCCAGAAGGTCAGTGTCAGTCAACTTTGGGTACACCTTAAGTGCCTCCTTAGGAAAAGACAAGGCCAAACATCTACTAGTTGGTCTCCAGAGTTGGACAATTTCAGAACACTAGGCTCCAGGAATAAACAGCAAGGATACTCTGGGTCCATGACAACCCATATGAGAGAGTCTGGGAGAGAAGTGCCTTGGAAGAAGAGAGAACTTAAAAGCAACCTGGCCTCTCCAATTACCAAAGCTCTCCCATGCCACTCTTAAAGAACACCCCAATACTCCTGCCCTCTGCCCATCCAACCAAAGCTTCCAAGATTACTTCCGTTTCTGCACTTCATACTGGCAACAAGACTCTCTTCTCTTTTGTGGGTTCCTGCAGATATGAAAGGACCTAGTGTGGATAAAGCACTCTGCACAGAGCCAGGCACAGAGCAAATGCTCAGTGCAGGCTAGTCAGTAGGAGACCCTGGATCAGGACTGCTCAGCAAGATCCCCTTCCAGTAAAAACCTAGTAAAACCAGATGGCCCTTACCACCTACCTAAGCTTCAGAAAAAATCAAAGGTTTAGAACAAAATTACCAAACTCATTATCCAAAACGAAAGACCTAGCAAGAATAAAGTAACCAAACTGACAAAACAAAAACCCAAAACCGGGCCCTCCCACTTTGCAGCAAAGCTCTGAGTTGAGCTGTTACTCTACCGGATGCTCTGAGTCCATCTCCTTCAGACCTTTCTCCTTTTCCTGGTCAGCTGTTCAAACACAGCACAGGTACAGAGCTGGAAACACTTACAATGCAATTTGGGGACTCAGGGAAGAATTAGAGGGTACAAGAGGGGCCCTCCAAACTGGGGGCTAAGAGGTAGGTCACAAGATAACACAGCCTTTGGGTTGGCTGCTGACTTGCTGAGTCTTCAAGCCAGCGTATACTAAAGCATGTGTCAGACCATGTGCATCAGGACCCTCGGGATGCTTATGCAAATTGCACATTTCTGGACCCCATGGCAAATCAATTAAAGCAGAATCTCTGGGAGTGGGACCCAGGAACCTGTATTTTCACTAGCTCACAGAAAGTTAGGAGCTATAAGTTTTCTGTGCCCAAATGCCTCTGAGTTAAAACACAAATTTTCATTTACTGATGGAGGGAGGCAGCACCACATACCCCACCCCCGACTTCTTTCTGCTGTCTTCTGTTTCCGTGTTAAGGCTTAGCTGCTTAAGGCCTTTGAGAAGCCCCACTTTCTTCATAAATATTACCAAGGAATCCCTTCTACCTGCTCCCTCCTCCTCCAGACTCCTAAAATGCTCATAGTACATCCCACATAGTATTCATGGGTCCTATTTATATGCTGTTCAGATGTGCTAAGCTTTGCTTCTCTATCTAGTTTTTCAGTGCGTTTTGGTTTGGATTATAGCACTTCCTGGCTCGACAACCTTCAGTAACTCCCTTCTGCTTCGTGAATTATAATGATACAAGCTAACACTTACATCTATTATGAAGCTGCCGTGTGCTCAGAGTATTAGACATATTGATTCATTTGATCCTCAAGATCTTAGTTTGTACTATTATTATCTGTATTTTGCAGATGAGAAAATTAAGGCTCAGAGAGGTCAATTAATTTGTGCATGGTCATAATACTAGAACCAAAATTTGAACCTAGCTTGTTTGACTCCAGAGACCAACCCCCTTCCCACTATATCAGGCCTCTATTTAACCAGAGGTGTGACCCTTGCCCATAAGAATGATAACACAGGTTGAGCACATGCTAGGCAGCAGACCCTTTGTGAATATGCACGTCACACCTCTATTTCCCCGTTCCATCTTCAGAATGACTATGGAGTCGGTTCTGCTATTATTCACACTTCACTGATGAAAAACTGAGGCTCAGAAAAGTTAAGTTTCTTGGCCAAAATTAAATATTAATAGCTGGCAGATGATGCAAGTGAATCAGAGCCCAGGACACCTGATCCCAGAGTCTGTCGTCTTAACTACCACTGCTGTTGCCTGGCCCAATGCTCTGAACTTCAAAGATGCTAAGTGCTTGTCGGGCTGAATGGCGCCAATGTCTAACACTGAACTGTACCAGGGTCCAATATGCTGTACGAACACAAAAGGTATTGCTGCAAGCTGCCTGAGTGGCTCTTCAGCCCAGCAAGCATATACTAAATATAAGCTGCTGGGGACTTGGGTAGGCTTCCTGCCAACCAACCACTGTCTCCCAGCTATGCCCCTGTGTACACAATACACTCTGCGTACACAACTCACGTCTTCTGCCCTCCTTCGCTCACCATGGACAAGGAGCAAGTGTGTGACTAAGGTCTCTAGTGGCTGACTGTCCCCAAAAGAAGTCTTAACTAACAGAGGTGGAGACCCCTGGGTAATTTACATTCACTCATTTAACAAATGTTTACTGAGCACCTACCACATGCTGTAGACACCATGCTAGGTCCTCACTTCTGTGCACATAGCACAGAACAAGCAGATAAGATTTTGCTCTTGAGGAGGGACAATCAAGCAATAAGCAAGCATATAATGTTGGGCGGTAGTAAGAGGAGAGAGACAGACTAGAGCAGTGGGTGGTGCAATGGCTCTGCGATGGGAAAAAGCTGACGTGACTTTAGAAGAGCGGTGTGCATGTATTTCTTAAAGGGCCTCATAGTGAGTGTGTCTCTCTCCTCTACTCTGGCATTGTAGTGCCATAGATAACATGCAGACACAAAGGCATGAGTGCCTATGTTCCAGTAAGGCTTTATTTACAAAACAGGTGGTGGCTTGGATTTAACTGGCAGGTCATGGTTTGCTGACCTTACTTGAGAACATAAAGAGGCTGCTGCAGTATGCCAAGTGAGGGCAAGAGGAGGTCAGAGAGGGTAGGAACTGGGCCCTGGAGGGCCTTGTAAGTAATTCTCAGAGCAGTGGGAGGCCACCGGTAGATTTTAAGCAGGAAATAAAATACGTGGTTTTCATTTTCAAAGATGACTCTTGCTGCTGTGTGAAGGGGTTGTGGGAGCAAATGTGGAAGTGAGTGACAAGATGTGTTTGGCAGTCAGTGGAAGCGTCCAGGGGAGAGGTAGAGGTGGCCTGGGCTTGGGTGTGGCAGTGACGATGGCTGGGGAAGCTGAAGGACATCCCTGACTGCTCTCCTGTTAACCCATTTCCTAGGCAGCTTGGGGGTTCCCCAGTGAGGATATTCTCCATCAGTAAAGGAAACTTGGGACAGCCCTGCCGTGAGGTGGTGCTGTGTCAGGTACCATGGGAATGAATGGATTCAGCTCCTATCAAATCTTGTTAAAAGTATCCCAATTTTAGTGACTGCCATGTGCATTTTCCAGGTATCACGAATCATGTGGCTTCAAGATGACCAGTGTTACTGAGAACGTGAGCTATTTCTCTTTCCAATTACTGTCTGAGGTGCTCTTGTTGAAATGGACAGTTTCGCAGTAGATTGACTAGGGCTGACACTGGAATTATTTCTAGGTATTGCATATCCATTTCCTACTGCACAAAGTCCATGAGCTGACAGCAGTAGCCACTCCAGAGTCATAGTAGGGGCCCCTGGAATCCAAAGGCTTTGCGATTAATCATTACAAAACAGACTTTCTCCTTCACGGGCCCCTCCCTTTTCCTCTTATTCATTCTTCTTAATCCTGAAACACACACATACACACACACACACACTCTCTCTCTCTCTCTCTCTCTCTCTCTCTCTCCTTTTTGGTTTGATGATTTAATCTGCCAGCTACACAGCATACAAATTAAACAGCCCTTACCTAATATCCCCAGGGTAAACTAACAAGTGATGGAACAAGGAAAAAGACTCCCCTGCTTGACAGAATAATAGTGTTCTTCTGTAATGCCTCATTTTCTCCTTTAGAAGTGAGGGGGTGGGGAGGAAGAGGGTCTATGTAAGCATTTTTCTTTGGAAAGAAGACCTAATAACATATTTTCAGCTAACCCAATTGAGAAAATGTGCTAACATTTCGTCAGGTCCATTTTCTATGGCAGCTCGGAGGTGTTTTCTTTCAGGTTTAATTTGGCCTTCTGCTCCTCAGGGAATTTGAAAGGTCACTGTCAAGTCTAGTTAAAAACAAACCAGTGTCAGTGAACTCTGCCACAACTCCTAGAGACCACAGGAAGTCTTGAGTAAGGCCTCTCACTCGTTCCACCAAACTTCCCTTCTGCTGTCATCTACCAACACATGTAGGATTTATAATGATTACCATGCTGTGGATGACAGCAGATACAGAACCTGCTAGGTGACAGGTGACGGGTTGGATTTGACCGGCAGGTCATAGTTTGTTGACCTTATTTGAGAACATGAAGAAGGCTCATGAGGCTGTAGTATGTCAAGTGAGGGTGAGAGGTCAGAGGGGCAGAATCTGGGCCCTGGAGGGCCTTGTAAGTAATTCTCAGAGCAATGGGAGGCCACTGAAGGACTTTAGTGTAATTTCCATTTTTCAAAGATCACTCTCGCTGCTGTGTAAAGAAGGGGTGACGGGAGCAAGAGTGGAAGTGACAAGATGTGTCAGGTGGCCAGCGGCAGCTCCCGGGTGAGAGGTAGAGGTGGCTGGGGCTTGGATGTGGCCATGAAGATGGCTGTGGAAGCTGAAGGACATTCTGCTGGGAAGAAAAGGACTTGGGAGTTAACAGTCATCCAGGCTTCTCTTCTCTTCTTGTCTTTTTCTCCCCTTTATGCTTAACTATCTAAGCCACTGCAGAAAGACTTAAAAATGAAAGAAGTCAGGAACATAAAACTGTGCAACCTCTTTCTCTCTCTTTTTTTTTTAATTTGGAGACAGATTTTCTCTCTTGTTGCCCAGGCTGGAGTGCAATGGCGTGATCTCGGCTCACTGCAACCTCCACCTCCTGGGTTCAAGCGATTCTCCTGCCTCTTCTTTGTGAAATAGTTTGGTGTTTCCTCAAACACTTAAACACAGAGATAATATGACCCTGCAATCCCACTCCTAGGTATATCCCCAAGAGAACTGGAAACTATGCCCTCACAAAAACTCAACACACATGTTCACAGCAGCATTATTCAAGTAGCCAAAAAATAGAAACAACATGTCCATCTACTGATGGATGAGCTTAAATAAAATGTGCTGTATCCATACTATCGCACGTAAAAAGGAGTAAGGCTCCGACACATGCTATAGCACAGATGAACCTTGAAAACATTATGCAAAGGGAAGAGGCCGTTTCAAAGATCATATACTGTATAATTCCATTTGTATGAAACGTCCGGGGCAGGCAAATCTAGGGAGACGAAGTAGAAGCGTGGTTGCCTTGGGCTGGATGGAAATGGGCTGTGGTAAATAGGGCATGACTGCTAAAAATACGGGGTTTCTTTTGGGGGTGATGAAAATATTCTGGAATTACATAGTGGTGATGGTTGCACAACTCTGAATATACTAAAAACCATTGAATTGTACATTTTGAATGGGTAAATTGTATGTTGTGTGGCTATCTTAATAAACTGTTGGAAAATGGAAGAAGGCTGCACTCACAGAAAGAAATCACAACTAAGATAGAAGCATATACATAACTTTTGATAGTTTAAAACAATTCTGCCCCTGAAAGCAAGAGTCCTTTGGGTTGTCAGAGGGAATGGCTGATAAGAACGCGATGATCTCTTGCCCATGTGAGCAGTGAAGTGGGACTTAGAGGACGGACCTTTAAGCCCTGGATTCACCTGCCAATGTAGAAATCTCTTAAATCCTGCTTATATACAGGCAGAAGCCCCTTCTCTGCTGATGAAGCAGGGCACAGAAGCTCAAGCAATGCAGCCCATCTGGTTTGTCTTCTGTGAGAGCCATGTCAGGTTACGGCAGGGCTAGGACTCCGCCGCCTGGGCCTATGTTGGGGACACTCACCAGTGAGATGGCTTTGGAGCCTTCAGCAGACCCACTGTACCTGCACTGCACCTGCAGTCTGCTGCAAGCACCAGCCATGGACAGGAGAGGTGGCTGGGCTGGCTGTTTGTGTGCTTTGATTTATAAAGGGCCCCGATGAGAGTTAATGGAGCAAAGATTTAAGGACAGTGCTTGAGGCTTTGAGAACTAGAAAAGGGAATGCAGACTCAGAAGGCCACATGCTGTTCTGGAGTAACCCCTCCCCCTCCTGCTGACCCAGAAGGCCAAAAGCTGTGTGATCTGGGAAACCCCCATGCTCTGTCCCTTGTTCCCCATTCTGTCTACTCGTGCCTGGTGGATACCTCTGCTATGCTGAATGTAGGGGCTGGGTAGACACAATGACAGCTTCTTTGGACCTGCGTACAGTCAAGGGCTGGTCCCAACCCATCTCTGCTCTGGCCTGGAATGTAAGACCTTTACAGAGGTAGCCAGGACCCATGGAGGCAGGTGCAGCATCCACTGCCCAGACAAAAGTAAGGAAAAACTGTCACTGTGAACTATAAGAGCATCAGGGCCTTTTTTGAAGATAGATACAATGATGATGATGGCCTTAATAATAAAAATATTAACTTATTGAATACTTAATATGTGTTGAGTACCATTTTAAACATGTGGTGTATATGATCTCTTAAAGCCACTTCCAAGTTCTGGGCTGGGTCTTCTGCAGGCATAATCTCATTTACTGTGGTAACAACTCAACTCAGAGCTGATTACGCTAGTCCATTCTTCACAGTGTCTCCCAAAACCAATACACACACACACACACACACACACACACACACACACACTCACTCACTCACTCTCTCTCACTCTCTCTCTCTCTCTCAGTTTTTTGTTCTTACCCATTGTATTGAGATTTTCCCTAGGGAGGAACTGTGAAAATGCCAGTTATTTATGTGATTCCCTTGCCCCTGCCCCCTGCCCATATCTTTGTGAGGGGATGAGAAACTCACCATTATCGAAGACCGTGCCTGCTGTGAACGAAAGCTCTGAGTCATGTTCAGCTTTGCAGGCATACAAGGCTTTTGCCTTCCGGAACGGTGTGCTGTGTGAAAACAGGAGTTTATTTAACATTCTTGAAAAAACCCTTAGAAAGCCCCAGACATTTAATCTCTTTTCTTCCTTTTCCCTGTAAGCTACCTAGTCCCCTCTCGTGGGAAGTGCCTGGCAAGGCAGCCAGATGGCAAGACATGAGGTGGGAAAGCTGCAAAGGTCACAGGAGAAAAATGAGAAAAATTCAGAGAAAAGCCATAAGCTTCAAGAAAGTACCCTTCTTGTGGGGTCACCTTGCGTCATGTTAAAACTTTACCTGGGAGTTATAACAGCCAAACAGCAGGAGGGCAGGCTGGGTCTCCCTTTTTTTTGGGAAGCAAAAGTGACTGGGGAGGGGAGGGAGGCAGGGTCAGGACAAAAAGTTCCAAGATGCTCTGGGGAACTCACTCCCAACAGACCCTGTTGAAAGCTGGCAGTGCTCAGTGAGTTAAAAAGGAGAAATTCCAGCAAAGCCAAGTTTCAGTTCCGGGCCACAGGTGGACATGAGTTCTCCCAGATGTTCTTGATTTCTTACCAGGCTGGGTCTTGCTGGTGGGGCAGGATTCCAGAACTGGAGCTCTCCAACCCCCAGGGGAGGGAACAGACAAGGTGTGTGAGGGCAATTACACACGTGTGCACATGAGCACACACGTGCACCTGTATGGGGAGTGTGGGGAGAAGGAAGAAGGGAAGGGGACGCGAGGTGTTTTGTTTTTACTCTTCTCATACCAGGTGAGTGTTGACAATTACCCTCACTGTCCATTCGAATCACCTGAGGAGCATTTAGAAAATGCAGATGTCTGGCTTCTACCCAGATGTGCAGATATTATATAGGCATCGGTATTTTTAAAAAGCTCTCCAAGTGATTCCAATGTGCAATGAGGGTTGAAAACAACTGTTCTAGAGCAGAGAGTGGTAAACTTCTTCTGCAAAGGGCCGGGTGGTAAATATTTTAGGTTTTGTGAGCCACATGGTCTCCACTGTGCAGGGTCATCAGAGTAAAGGTTATCTCGAATTTATTGCTGGGGCGCAGTTTACTGTTGTTCCCTCTGGTTTTCTTGGAGCCAAGATATGATGGCCAGGTGGGAAATCATTAGGAAAGTGGGAGAAAATGAAGTGGGACCCCTGGGAATGAAGGAAAGAAGAGTCTTTAGTATTCCTCCTCCAACAGGAAAACACCTCTTCCTGTCTAATTATGATTAAAGAATAAAGTTCAGGACAAGGGGCATAGTCTGTGATCCAAAGAAACCAAGTCTGTGTGTTGGCCAGCGAGGGTCAAACATCCTTTGTGCACCTTTCCAGGGAGGAACATAAGAGGCTTTTCTTGGGGGTGCTGGGAAGCAGAGAGGAGGAGTGACTTGGCTGTGAAAAGTGCTCAAACAGATAAGACTATACTGACAGGCAAATGGAACCTGTTAGGACATTGAAGGTGAAAGGAGACTCCAGTTCACATTAGCCAAGGTCTCAGAGACCAGGTTTTGAGGCAGTATTTCTGCCTTTTGAGGTTAGGGCAGAGCAGGTGGGTAAAAAGCAAAGAGACCAGGGAAGGGGGAATAAAAACTAAGGGAAACAGCATCTGAGGCAAGGCTCCTCTGGCTGGATTTTTGCAGACATTACTTATTAATCTCATTAAATAAAGGTAATGGGACAATACAGAGACAAGCCGGGAAAGCAGCAGAGGTATTTGGCAGGCAGAAATTAAAGGGAATGGTCTTAGGTGCCCAAGATTATCCTTTAAAAGGAGTAACATTCCATTGATATTAGGTTTTTGGAATTGAGTAATGAAGTGGTAATAACATAGTATATTACAAAAATAACAGACTAGGCACTGTGGCTCACACCCGAATCCCAGCACTTTGGGAGGTGGGAGGACTGCTTGAGCCCAGGAATTCAAGACTAGACTAGGAGACCTCCAACTCTACAAAAAATAAAAAAATTAGCCAGGCATGGTGGGACACGCCTGGAGTCCAGGTTACTTGGGAGGCCGAGGCAGGAGGAATGCTTGAGCCCAGGAGGTCAAGGCTGCAGTGAGCTGAGATTGCACCACTGCACTCTAGTCTGGGCCATGTAAGATCCCGTCTCAAAAAAAAGGACTGCTTGAGCCCACCAAAAAAACAATTTAATTAAAACACAGGCCAAGAAAGGGCCTTGTTTTCTTCTCAAGTTGATAGGTAACCAACAGTGTATGGGACGGCCTTTTCCCTTGAAATCTCCCTCTGCTGCCTTAGAATAGGCACAAAAATGGGAGAAATGACAGGGGGCCATTTCTGTTCCCCAAGAGTAGGGTTGCCAGATAGAATACAGGACACCTAGTTAAATTTGGATGACAGATTAAACAATAAATATTTCTTTAGCATACGTTATGTCCCAAATATTGCATGGGACATTTGTATACAAAAATATCTGTGTTGTTTACCATCCAAATTTAACTGGGTATGCTATATTTTTTATTTTATTCGCTAAATCTGGCAACCCTCCCAAAAAAGTCTCATCTTCTTAAAAGCTTGTCAGCCCAACAAGTCAAGTACCCCATAACTCCTCAAAGGCCTTAAGCGGTTTGCTTTAGGTAGGGTTCCTACCAAAACAGACAAATCCTGTTGGCAGAGAGGTTGTGTTTGTAGGTTTTGGCTCTGATTTAAAAAAATAAAAAATCTCCACCAGGCATCATTGGTTCTTTGGCTTCCTACTCTCCACAGTGCATCTCAAAACTGGATACAGAGAGCCTGGGGTAGTTTTCGGCTGCTCCGGTCACAGAGCCCTTCAGACCTCAGCGGGGCCTTTATGGGCATGAACATGTTTGGATCCTCCTGCTAGTTCCCTTTAAATTTTCGCCTCTGAGCATGGCACAAGGCCTGGAAAGCACTCAGAGGAGTTTTCCTCAAATGCCCTTGCAAGCCTTGCAAAATGATGAGCCATTCTCCATCATATGGCACTACAGGGAGGTGACGCCAGCTAGACTGGCAAGTGGCGAGGGGTCGATCATTTAGGCATAATTTCCAGGGACCCCTATGCAAATGCAAGTTATAGGTTTGGGACTATAGGCTTTTTGGGGGAAGGGGTGAGCAAGCGGAAGAAAAAGGAACTAGGGAGGGAAGGTGTCTCCCGCACCCTTTCTCTACTGTGCTGCAAAAGGCATCTTCATTCCTGAGCTGGAACAAACAAGCTCTACAAATGGTTTGAAGAGGGGACAGTGATATGGTTTGGCTCTGCGTCCCCACCTGAATCTCATCTGGTAGCTCTCATAATTCCCGTGCTGTGTGAGGGGCTCAGTGGGAGATGACTGAATCATGGGGGAGGATCTTTCCTGTCCTGCTCTCGTGATAGTGAATCGGTCTCATGAGATCTGATGGTTTTAAAAAACGGGAGTTTCCCTGCCCAAACTCTCTTTTTCCCTGCCGCCATCCATGAAAGATGTGACTTGCTCCTCCTTGCCTTCTGCCATGATAGTGAGGCCTCCCCAGTCATGTGGAACTGTAAGTCTTTTAAACACCTTTTGCTTCCCAGTATAGGGTATGTTTTTATCAGCAGCATGAAAACAGACTAATCCAGACAGAAAGCAATTTCCAGAGGAGACATCATTCAGTTCATGGGGCCACTGATTAGGGCTAATTCAGTATTTACTTTTAAAGGCTTTGCTCAGGGAAGAAAATCTGAAGCTTCATGCTCTGGAGGTGGATTTGGGGGAGGCCCCACTGGACCTGAATAATGGGTGTATATCACCACCTCTTTGCTATACACTACAGTGTATGGGTTTGGGTCCTCTCTGTTCCTCTGATGGGCTAGCTCCTCAGCAGTGTTGCTATCTGTGCTCACCTGGGCAAACACATTTAGCCGAACTCTGCCTTGACTCTTTTTTTTCCTTTTTCTTTTGAGATGGAGTCTTGCTCTGTCACCCAGGTTAGAGTGCAATGGCACGAGCTCTGCAAACTCCACCTCCCAGGTTCAAGCAATTCTCCCGCCTTGGCCTCCTGAGTAGCTGGGATTACAGGCGTCTGCCACCATGCCCAGCTAATTTTTGTATTTTTAGTAGAAACAGGGTTTTACCATGTTGGCCAGGCTGGTCTTGAACTCCTAATCTTGGGTGATCTGCCTGCCTCAGCCTCCCAAAGTGCTGGGATTATAGGCATGAGCCACTGCGCCCAGCCCGCCTTGACTACTTCAAGAGGGCAGCTTCCTAAAGGCGTCCAAATGGTACAATTCTAACAATGGCCAGGGGAGAAGGAATTGACTAACTGTGACCCCAGATACACAAGATGAGCTGATTGTATTGCCACTGTCCTCTGCCAATCTGGAAATGCTTTGAGAGGTAGGAAGGAGTAGGAAAGAAAAAAAGTATGGAAATATTTTGGGAGATGAAAAGGAGTGAAGAGGTAGAGATACTTCATAAGAAACAGGGCCCCAAAGCTCAGACACACAAAAAAGTGAGTACCATCAAGGCAGAGAGAACGTTTTAGGATTTTAGCTGAGTGATTCCACTGTCTTGAGTCTCTTGGCCCATTTTGTCCGAAGGGCTAATATTTTGAAAATTTCACTCCTTTTTGATAAAAATGAAGGAACTGCATTCTCCTAAAGCCCAAGTTTCTCTAATGAGCGAGTGAGGCATTTTGGAAGCTGACGTGTCTGTGGTCACTTAGTTTCCTCTGGTTCAGGTCCTCATGTTCTAATGAGAATAATCCATGTCATTTCTGGTATCTTAGAAAGTTAATGTCTCCCAAAGTGCCCAGAAGATGTCCAAGAAATGACTGGAAAATTACTAGAATGTCAGGAAGACATGATCTGAAAATTTCTCTTATTTATAGAGTGAGAAAAAAAAAGAATATACTAAAAAGCTCCTTCCCATCATCCAGGATGAAGCCAGGTAGAAAGCTGTATAAAACCTAAAAGAGCAAGCCAGGCTCTAGGCTGGGAGCGGCATAAAAACTCAAAGTTGGGGTTACCCACGTGTTTGGAGGAGACAGTGCTGAGCTGAGGGGAAGAAGTCCTGAATTCTGGATTGGCTCTTAGTCACGTAATTGTGTCCAAGCCACCTCGCTGTGCTTTAGTTTTCTTTTTCTACAATAGGGTTTGCCCATTTCTCTTCTCAGTCTCACATGAGGATAGAATGAAATGGCAGATGTGTAAGTGCCTAGTAGAGAATAAAGTAATATATGTATCTGTATATACATAAATAGCATGGGATTTTCTTTTTTTCTAAAAGTGAAACTCGGCTTCATAAATTATTTAAGCCTCTCTGCTGGATCCACCCTTTGGAGAAAAAGATGGAAGAGAAAATACTCCCAAAGTCCAAAATGCTTCTGATGCTTATAACTGGGCTCTACCATTTGGTTGTCTGAAAGCTGAGACTAAGCTTGAGAAAGAAACATGCTCAGGAGCTCCACAGCAGAGGAATTCTGCAGGATCCCTATTCATTCTTCTCCTGGTTGTAAAGAGCTCTTTTCTCCAAAGAGCACAAGAGCAAAGAACTTAGGTGTGGAAGTCACAAAAGCAGGGAAAATTACAGCATGGCCCTGAGAAGAGGAACTAGGTCAAGCTGCTCTCCCTCAGAGAGAGGTAGTGTCTGTTCCCGGGACAGCTCAGGCTTCATGACACAGAGACAGAAGCATGCTGGAAGCATGGACGGCTCTGGGAGTATATGGAGGACAAGGAGGGATAAGCCATGAGCACTTTAGGAAAAACTGCTTCGTCTCTCTAGCTTTTATTCTGTGTTCTATTTGTCTCTACCCAGTGGCTCTGGTCTCAGTGACTGGGTATCAGTGCTCAGGCCCAAGGGGCCCAACCCCACAAACAAACGTTGCCTGATGCTACCTGATAAAAATGAGAGAAGGCTGGCATGTGTCTCAACACTGTTCCCTCTTATGTTATCTTACACCAAAGCACAGAGGACACACGTAATTGAGAGAGCCATCAAAACTGGAGTCTGATTCAGGAGGTGCTCCTTCCCCTAACTCTAGGCACCAGAGAGATTAATTCAGAAACTTGACTCAGGGTGCAAAAGGGTGTGAAAAATGCCATGCTGGTTCATGCAAATGGTCCCTTTTAGCTCTGGTCTCTTAGGAGGGAACCACAGGAGAGCAGAGGCAACCCCCTGTTGTCCCTGGCCAGCTTTGGATAAACGGGAACAGATTGGTCATCATCCGAGATTTTACCTGGAGTCTTCATGAATCGCTTCTTCTGGCCTGTCAAAAAGCAAGTGCAGGTTTGGATGGCAGGGAACAAAGTTGACGAGGAGGCTGAACACTGCATGAAGAGAGGACCAAGCCAATGAGAGAACAACGGCAGCAACAGAAAACCAAACAAACCCTGCAACAGACCTGACGGGGGATGAGTCGCTGGACGTGGATGAGGTGGGCATAGGGCTGGATGGCGCCGAGAACATGGGCCAAGATGGCGAGAGGGGTGAAGTTGGGCTTGGATTCGGGGGGCTGCAAGACATAACAACCAGAAAACTTGTCAGCACACAGGGAAACCACAATGGGAGCACAGGAGGTCATGGAAGGCCAGATGACGGAAAGCTGGGCAGAGCAGAGGAGTACTGACACCCAGGGACGTGCTGTTAGGGCCATGTCACCTTCCTCCAGACCAAACCTCCGTGTCCAAGTAACGTCTGTTCTGTAATTCCTCGGAGCATAAACAAGCTTTGCCCTGCAGAACAACTGCTTTTCAGGTGATAGAAGCTTCTTCGATCATGTCCACTGGTGACAAATGCCCTGAGCCCATGCATATGAGTTCCCACACCCACCTCCGATCACCAGCCTTGTTCTGACGCAGGGCTAGCTTATAATGAGCCTTCAGCTTCCACTGTTGTGGGAGTGTTTTTCAAGTTATGTCTCAGCAGAAATGACCATTTTTTTCTTTTGGGCCACAAAGGCCATTCCGTGAGAAAATAATTTCCTGTTTGCATTTTTAACTAGATGGGCTGTGTGCCACTGGAGATCCAAAGCACTGCATGAAGACAATGATAGCCAATGGAGGTGAATACGGACACATCTCTTGGGAGGCGGTGTGCAATTACCAGCAGAATGCGGTTCCTCTGAGGTTTGCTGCCCAGGCTTGCCCTTTCTCCTTTCGTGGAATTTGGGCATTATAATGCTCAAAGAAAAAGCCCCAGAGGGAAGGCAATGAAAAAAATGAACTGGAACCTTCAATTTGTCCATTTTGTTCTTTGACGGGTGGCTAATCAAAAGTTTGGAGAGGAAAGGTTGAAATTACTCACTGAAATGTGGCTTGTGGATTTTAATTGGTTGTGCTAGCCCTTTGACTTATTTCCACAAATTACACAAGCACCTTCGCAACTCTGAAATCGTAAGTCACAGTGCAAACACCAATGACTGAGAGAAACCAGTTCAGCCACACCACTTGCCTCCCCTGAATCTCAGCTGACTGCTGGACTGTTTGAACCAAGCATTTCATGGGGGCAAAAATGATAGTAATCCAGTTCAAGCGGAACAGACTTTCTAAGCGTACCACAATTTAGCAAGAACACAAAAATATCCTGCTTACTGGGACTTCCCTAGGGTTATACCAATTCAGACATGAGACCCCATAATAGCCCCAATTACCTACTGTTGTAACATAAACACCTATAGACAAATAACAGCAAAAACCACAGTGTGAGTTCATCAGAGAGGCTCAAACCAATGTGACTGATAAACAGTTTGTTCAATTCCATTATGCATATTATATTTCTAGAATATAAATTCCATGAGGAAGAGGCTTTTGTTTTGCTTACTGCTGTATATCCAATGTCTAAAATAGTGTCTGTAGGCATTATATTTAACAAATCATTATTGAGTAAATTAATGAATCTCATTTACCCACCTGTTAAGGCCACAAACAGGTACTAGTATAATTCTCATTTCACAGATGTGGAAACCTAAGCTGAGGCTTCCCTAAGGATGCCCAGCCTATAAGTGATAGGGCTGAGTTCAAACCCCATCCGCTGAATGGAAGCCCAGGGCTCTGGCAGCCAGTGCACTGCCTCTGAGATAGCAGGACTTGCCCTGCTCCTCTAGGCTGTGCCAAGTTTTTTTTACAGACTCAGTCATAGCATTAGAATTCTTCTTAACCACTGATTCATGGGTTTCCTTTAGATACCTACCCTATTTGCAAGGGAAAATGACAATACAGTGACAGAATCGCAGTAAGACTCAACACCTGGCAAATTCCAACAAAATCCCCAATCCTGCCTCCAGCGTTCGGTCTGGTGGATTCATACAGCAGACAGAATTCATGTTTAAGAGAATAAAATTTAGAAAGTATGACTTTAAAAAAATTTTTTTCTTAATGCAACAAAAACTAGACATTGAGCACTTAGTATGTGCAAGACAGTAAGTGGTATTTGCCAAGATCCCTTGACTTCAAGAACTTAAACTGTATTTGACAAGAAGCGACAGATTTAAAAACAGTAATGTAAGACAGCAAGATCCATCAGCTGAGGGCTATTATTAGCTTAATACCTGGCTCCCACTTGACTCTGTCTCCAGTCCTAGGAAAAGTGTCAACTCCTTTCTACTGTGCAGTCTCCATTTTCCTCCACAGTTGCTGCTCGTCAGAGAAGCCTCACTTTCTGAGTGCTCTCACCACAACCCCGCCCCTCCAGACAGTGACCTAGTAGAACAACCTAGTAGACAAGGCCTGGCAGCAACTTTCAAACCACAGCCCAGCCCAGGGACAATTTGGAGGTTCAAGACAACAGCCCAGACCTAGGGGCTTGTCCCAATCTGTTCTTTTGGTCAGTGGTTACCACAGGACAATTAAAAAGTCCTTCCAAAAAAATTTTTTTTATGACTTTAATAAGTAGGAAACACCTCCAGCTTCCTATTCCATCTGTACCAAGAATTATGCCTTTGGCTAATGGCATAGTTGGGAACATATTCTGTGAATACAATGTGGGTTCTAAATGTTTTTCAAATCCTCAGATATCTAAGTCGTTCTTGGCCAGAAGTACATGGCTGGAATTATCTGGGGGTGCGGCTGGAATGCAGGGTATTCGTAACTATTACAAGAACTTACTCCTTAATCCCCATGTCAATTGCCATAGTATCAACTGCAATTATTATTATTATTATTTAAGACAGGGTTTTGCTCGTCGCCCAGGCTGGAGTGCAATGGTGCGACCTTGGCTCACTGCAATCTCCACCTCCCGGGTTCCAGCGATTCTCCTGCCTCAGCCTCCCGACAGCTGGGATTATAGGTGCCCACCACCACACCCGGCTAATTTTTTGTATTTTTAGTAGAGATGGGGTTTCATCATGTTGGTCAGGCTGGTCTTGAACTCCTGACCTCTGGTGATCCACCCACCTCAGCCTCCCAAAGTGCTGGGATTACAGGCATGAGCCACTCTGCCTGGCCTCAACTGCAATTTTTAACAACAGAATTTCATTTGTTTATGTTTTAGCCATAGCAGTAACATTTGCTATAAAGTGATCGCATTTTATCATTTGATACCACCATATTTGATTTGGTATAATAATAAAATGCATACTCCATAGTACTTCAGTGATTTTTTTTTAAATTATACTTTAAGTTCCGGGATACATATGCAGAACATGTAGGTTTGTTACACAGGCACACATGTGTCATGGTGGTTTGCTGAACCCATCAACCTATCATCTACATTAGGTATTTCTCCTAATGCTATTCCTCCCCTAGTCCCCCAGCCCCTGACAGGCCCTGGTGTGTGATGTTCCCCTCCCTGTGTCCATTTGTTCTCATTGTTCAGCTCCCACTTATGAGTGAGAACATGCGGTGTTTGGTTTTCTTTTCCTGTGTGTGTTTGCTGAGAGTGATGGTTTCCAGTTTCAACCATGTCCCTGCAAAGGACATGAAATCATCCTATTTTGCGGCTGCGTAGTATTCTATGGTATATGTGTGCCACATTTTCTTTATCCAGTCTATCATTGATGGGCATCTGGGTTGGTTCCAAGTCTTTGCTATTGTGGATAGTGCTGCAATAAACATATGTGTGCATGTGCCTTTATAGTAGAATGATTTATAATCCTTTGGGTATATACCTAGGACAGGTATTGCTGAGTCAAATGGTATTTCGGTTCTAGATCCTTGAGGAATCACCACACTGTCTTTCACAATGGATGGATGAATTTACACTCCCACCAAGAGTGTAAATGAATTCCTATTTCTCCACATCCTCTCCAGCATCTGTTGTTTCCTGATTTTTTTAAATGATTGCCATTCTAACTGGGGTGAGATGGTATTTCATTGTGGTTTTGATTTATATTTCTCTTATGACCAGTGATGACGGGCTTTTTTCCATATGTTTGTTAGTCGCATAAATGTCTTCTTTTGAGAACTGTCTGTTCATATCCATCACCCACTTTTTGATGGGGTTGTCTGTTTTTTCTTGTAAATTTGTTTAAGTTTCTTGTAGATTCTGGATATTAGCCCTTTGTCAGACGGATAGATTGCAAAAATTTTCTCCCATTCTGTAGGTTGCCTGTTCACCCTGATGATAGTTTCTTTTGCTGTGCAGAAGTGCTTTAATTAATTAGAACCCATTTGTCAATTTTGGCTTTTTGTTGCCATTGCTTTTGGTGTTTTAGTCAGGAAGTCTTTGTCCATGCCTATGTCCTGAATGGTATTGCCTAGGTTTTATTCCAGGGTTTCTACGATTTTAGTTCTTACATTTAAGTCTTTAATCCATCTGGAGTTACTTTTTGTATAACGTGTATGGAATGGTCCAGTTTCAGTGTTTTGCATATGGCTAGCCAGTTTTCCCAACACCATTTATTAAATAGGGAATCCTTTCCCCATTGCTTGTTTTTGTCAGGTTTGTCAGAGATTAGATGGTTGTAGATGTGTGGCATTATTTCTGAGGCCTCCGTTCTGTTCCACTGGTCTATATATCTGTTTTGGTACCAGCACCATGCTGTTTTGGTTACCGTAGCCTTGTAGTGTAGTTTGAAGTCAGGTACTGTGATGCCTGTAGCTTTGTTCTTTTTGCTTAGGATTGTCTTGGCTATATGGGCTTATTTTGGTACCAGATGAAATTTAAAGTAGTTTTTTTTCTAATTCTGTGAAGAAAGTCAATGGTAGCTTGATGGGGATAGCATTGAATCTAAATTACTTTGGGCAGTATGGCCATTTTCATGATATTGATTCTTCTTATCCATGAGCATGGAATGCTTTTCCATTTGTTTGTGTCCTCTCTTATTTCCTTGAGCAGTGGTTTGTAGTTCTCCTTGAAGAGGTCCTTCACATACCTTGTGAGTTGTATTCCTAAATATTTTAACCTCTTTGGAGCAATTGTAAATGGGGGGTCACTCATGATGTGACTCTCTGTTTGTCTATTACTGGGTGTATAGAAGTGCTTGTGACTTTTGCACATTGATTTTTGTATCCTGAGACTTTGCTGAAGTTGCTTATCAGCTTAAGGAGATCTGGGGCTGAGATAATGGGGTTTTCT